TGACTTCCTCTCCATATGAAAAATCTATGTCTACATTTTTTAAGTCCCTCTTTTTTGTTTTAATGTTGTCATCTTTTACATATTGACATCTGTTTCCCCATTTTCAGTGTTTTAGCTTTGATTTCCTTTTGTGACATCCCTATCTGGGTTGATATCTGGTTGCTGTGTCCTGTGTTCTAGTCTTGGGTTGTTAGGTGACGTTACTGATTTTCTAACCGGAGGACTCCCTTTACTACTTCTTGTAATTTTGGTTTGGTTTTTGCAAATTCCCTAAACTTCTGTTTATCTGGAAATGCTCTAATTTCGCCATTATATTTCAGAGACAGTTTTGCTGGATATATAATTCTTGGCTGGCAGTTTTTCTCCTTCTAGGCTTTATATATATCATCCCATTGCCTTCTTGCCTGCATGGTTTCTGCTGAGTAGTCCAAGCTTATTCTTATTGACTCTCCTCTGTAGATGACTTTTCGTTTATCCCTAGCCACTCTTAAAATTCTCTCTTTAACTTTAGTTTTGGCAAATTTGATTATATCTTGGTGACTTTCTTTTTGGATTTACGGTATACGAGGTTTGATGAGCATCTTGGATAGATATCTTGTCATCTTTCACGGTATCAGGGAAGTTTTCTGCTAACATATCTTCCAACAATTCTCTCTGTATTTTCTGCTATCTCCCCGTTCTGGTACTCCAATCACTCGTAGGTTATTCCTCTTGATAGAGTCCCACATTAGGGTTTCTTCATTTTTTTTAAAATCCTTTTATCTGATTTGTCCTCAAGTCAGTTGGCGTCAAGTGCTTTATCTTCAGTCTCACTAATTCTGACTTCCATTGCCTCAATTCTGCTCCTATCACTTTCTACTGTCTAATTCTGAAATTTTATTGTTAATCGTCTGGATTTCCGATTGCTGTCTCTCTATGGATTCTTGCAGCCTGTTAAATTTGTCATCATGCTCTTCTCTAATCTTTTTAATTTCCTCTATTGCGTGTTCTGTGTTTTGATTAATTTCCTTCCTAATTTCTTGAAGACTTCTGTATATTAATCTTTTGTATTCTGCCTCCGGTAATTCCAAGAAATTTTCCTCCTCTGGAAAATTTCTAGATTATTTTGGGAGCTTGCTGAAGCCATCATGGATTGCCTCTTTATGTGATTTGGTATTGACTGTTGTCTCTGAACCATCAATAAGTTAGTATATTTGTTTGCTTACTGTGTCCTAGCTTCTTGTTTTGTTTTGATATGCCCAAATAGGCTGCTCGTACGAGCTAGTTTGATCATTGGCACCTTTGAAGCTCTAATGTCCTCTCACCAGGTGGTTAGATCTGTTACTAGGTATGAGAGCTCAGGAGTCCGCCCACTCCTCCTGTACAGATTCAGCTCAGGTGCCCAGGTAGATAGCCACCAAGTATGTGGTGTAGTCTCTCACATACAGTCTTAGACAGGCATGGATGACTGGTGTAGGCACAGGCATCTGGCTGTAGCAGGGGTCACACTCTGAGCAAGGCAGGGGGCTGACGGCCACCCGAGTGTCCAGGAGGAAGGCATGTCCCTGTTCCCTAGAGCGCACAGGTGTGTGGGTTTTGCAGCCAGACTATAAGCACCTAATACTGCTGGCTCTAAGGACTGGGGGACACCTCTTATTCATGGGCCCCTATGGCAGGTGGCATGGGTGGAGCCACCAGTCCTCAGGCCCCTGATGTGGGTAGGTGGAGACCATGCTTAATGGGCAGAGCAGTGTCAAATGTCAAGAACCTGCCACTTCACAGCTGAAACAGCTGAAGTTAGGGTTCTGGTATATACCCGGTTGTACTATGGTAATGAGTGCCTACGCTGCTGAAATGGGCCCACACAAATCTATCCAGAGAGAAAGGCACTCAAAGTTCATGGATCCCTTATGCCTGTGCCTAGGCAAAGAAGCTGTGCCTGAGTTCCTGGCTTAGGGGAGCTGTCAGTTTATTTTTTCCTTTGTTTGTTAATTTGTTCACTCTCCCAGGCAGAAGAATTGCTCCAGCCATGTGACGGATCCTACTGCTGGCCCAGGGCACTCGGCAATTACTGAAGCCGGTCCAGGACCCAGTGCAGAACAGGGAGCGGGGAGGTAAACAGGAGAGAGGTTTTCCCCTAAGGGGGTTGTTTTTGATCCCCGTGGTAAGCCGTATGCAAGTACTTATCTTTCACTGATGAGGGCTGCTTCTCACTGGTTCTGGGTTGCCATGTAGACTCTATGGTGCTGGATCTCTGCCGGTGTGGAAAACCCACGTCCCGAGCACTGTTGCTTACCTGCCTCACCACTCACCCACGAGCTGCTCAGGCCTGAAGGGCTCAGGCTCTCACCGGGTCAGTCTGGCAACTCCTCACTGCTTCCAAACCGTCTCTCCCTCCCCCTGCCACTCAGTCTGGTTCCTCAACTCTGCCTTTGATGTTTACGGCTCCCAGATTGCCATATATAATCGAATCACTTGTTTTTTCATCTTTGTGGTAAGAGGGTCCACCGGAATTGTCTGACTGCTCCGCCACCTTGGCCCCGCCTCTCTGTACTCTCCATTTTTGTCTGTTGACAGTATGGATACTCAACTTGGGGATCTGACACGTTTTCGTAAAAATGAACAAAGTAAGCTTCTCTCTTCATTGAAAACAATCAGTTGTATTTGTCGCCATGAAAACATTTGGTTTTTCAAGAGATGATGACAACTCTGGAAAACATGCATCTGATAACCATAACCCAGACAGCTTCCCAATACTAATAAACTTTGATGAAATCGGGTGGTATTAACACACACAGTTTTTTGATACTATATAATAAAATGTGTCATGTGTCAACGTTTGGAAGATCAGCATAACTCAGTAAATCAATATTTTCCAAATGACCAAACATGATGTTAGAAAATCACTCATGGGGAAGAAAGCCATTCAAAGAGCAAGAGAGAGCAAGGGATTTTAACGTAACAGAGTACAAAAAGTTCATTAATATTGTTTCAGAAACCACATTATACCCAATTTTACATAATTACCATTTGTCAAGTTTTGGTGTAGTATCAAAAAAGAATCTCTAGAATTATCTGAAAAGGACAGATTTTCTTCATCTGCCTCAAGAAAGATAACATCTCACAACAGATTGGGATATATAAGCAGATTCAGAAAAATGAAAAATTATGCTAAGCTTGTATTTTTCACTTTGGAAATAGTTATTTTTCATAAATATACAGTAAAACCTGCAAAAGCCAGAACTGTGTGAGGAGGAAACCTGCCAGAAAAGGAAAATTCAAATATGTTCCACTAAAATGAGCAATAGAAAAGTGGTAAGACTGTACCCTGTCAAAGGCAGAAAACTTGCAAGAACTGGAAAAACAAAGAAGTCCTGTCGGCTTCCAGCTCTCACAAGTTTCACTGTACCTTGCTTAAATTTAACATGTAACGGTTTTTTTTTTTTAACTGTTAGTTTTTAAGTTTCTCAGTTTTAGCTTCTAATATGGCAAATAAAGATACAACCTGTATAAACAAAAACTCTTTGGGGTCCCCAATAATGTCTGAGTGCAAGTGAGTTCGAAGACCACGAGAACTGCTGCTCTAAGCAATTACAAATGCTGGCTCAAAGGGACCTCTGTCTTCAATTTATCTAGGTAGTGCCAAACTGTTTCCTAAAGCGATTGTGCCGATGTATACTCTGACCAGGAGCATATGCACATTACACTTGTTCTACATCTTCGTGACTACCTGGTATTACCATACTTGGTAATTTTTGCCCATCCGAGAGGTGTATCTATGGTGGTTTCAATTTACATTTCCCTGATGATTAATGAGGCTCATCACCTTTTCATATTTACTGGACATCAGAGTTCCTTCTTTTGTGGAGTGCCTGTTCAACTGGGCCTCTTTTGTCCATTTTCCTACTAGACTGCTTGCTGTTTTCTTGGCATTTTCTACTTTCTGATAACTTTTTAACATATCATTCAAAACCTTTGCTTCCCCTCTATTTTAACCTACACTCTCTCCTTTAAATGCCACAGAACACATGGAAGAGAAGGAACCTATTGTCCTCGGTGTTGTTAATCCCACTCTAGTAAGCAGCTTCCAGAACTATGAATGCCAAGTTCAAAACCTTCTCAGTGGAGACTCATTGAGTCTTTTCCATGAAGAAGTCGAGATTTTAAGAACACATGCCATGACCCATGCAAGGATTTTATAACAAGCCAAGGTCTTATTTTAAGACTGAAGAGAACTACTAACAAATTAGCAAGTATTTAAATAGATTTGTTAAAAGCAATGCATTTGGGCTCTAGGGTCAGACTAAACTAGAAAGTTGAGTATCATCATCGCATTTTCAAAATTCAAACACCCAACCACTCTCCCCAACCCACGGCTTTGGTCTCACCCCTTGATACTCACATTTATTGCCTCGAACAGCATAGACAAGCTTTAGCTCTGGATAAAATTTGCCCATCTGCTCAATCACTTTTCCGGTTTGAAGAGCCAGCTCATATGTTGGGGAGAGGCACAAACACTGATGGGGAAATCAAAGGATGAGTCTGAGAGAGCCAACAAGATCTAAACAACAGAGAATGCTGTTGTTACTACCACCTAAGCATTGCAGGGGACCACAGCGTCTGCCGCCAGGCCAACTTGTCGGCTGCAGACTGACACCCTGGCTGTTAGGAAACCTTGGCTTGACGAGGCCTTGGGGTGCTGCTTCCAAGTGAATTCTACCCAGGCCGGGACTCAGTGTACTAACCTGCTGTGTCTGAGCCACAATCTGAGGCATCAGAAACGTTCAGACCCTTCCAGGAGCAGCCTCACTAATCCCCACTAGATGGTGCTGCCCTCCCCAGGGCACGCCAGCCAGGGCCCCTAGGCTCCCCAAAACCTCACCTGGGGGTATCTGTTTGCTGGTTCCACTCGGCTGAGCATGGCCAAGACAAAGGCAGCTGTTTTACCAGTACCAGACTGAGACTGGGCGATCAGGTTCTGTGGGCTGATCAAGGAAGGACAGAAATAAAAATAACATTGCTTAAGACAAATATGGCCAGAGCAGTTCCACTCCTAAGTACATACCCAAAACAACTGAAAGCAGGAACGCAAACAGATACTTATACGCCAATGTTCACCACAGTACTATTCACAATAGCCAAAAGGTGGAAACAATCCGAGCGTCCAACAACAAAGGAATGGATACGTAAAATGTAATATACACACAGAATGGAATACTATTCAGCCATGAGGAGAAATGAAGTCCTAGCACATGCTGCAACATGGGTGGACCTTGAAAACATTATGCTGAGTGAAATAAGTCAATCACAAAAAGGACAAATATTGTATGATTTCACTTATATGAAATATCTAGAATAGGCAAATTTAATATAGAGACCAAAGTTCACTAGTGGTTATCAAGGGTGGGAGGGAAGGAGAAAGGGAGTGCCACTGCTTAGGTGGCACTGAGTTTCTGTTAAGGGTGATGGAAAAAACTGTAAACGGATAGTGGTGATGATCGTGTAAGATGATGAATGTAATTAATGTCACTGAATTGCACATGAAAAAATGATAAAGTGGTAAATGTTTTGTTAGATATACTTTCACCACCAAAAAAACAGTCTCAAAAACAAGAGGCTGACATAACAGTTAAAACTGAGGCAGATCTTTAAAATTATATTTGGCCCATTCAAACCCCAAAACTAATTGGGATTTCATCTTTTTAAATGAGACCCTTTGGTGCCAATAATGACAGACTGTCTAATGAGTCAACGGCCCTTGCAATTTCAAAACGGCGGTTTTCATCTTATGGCTGGTAGGGACTTCCTCAGAAGTCACAATGTTAACCCTGAAACAAACAACAAAAAGAGGGCAAAGTGGGAATAAAAAACAAAAAGAACAACAAAAAACAGATACTGCGTCAAAATTCTTTTTCTGGGTGGTAGGAATATGGGTCCTCCCCCCTTTATGCCTCTCTATATTATGGAGGCTTTCTGCATTGCGCTCAAATTACTTTGATAAATTTTTATATACTGTTTAAAAAACCTGCTTAAATACTAAGGGAAACGGTTGTTTTAGATGGGTTCACAGCAAGAAATCTTCATTCTAGACTCCAGCACAACTTTACTTCACTGTAGGTGTGCCCTACTTTCATATCCCGAGGGCTCCAAGGAAATCAAGACTGCAGAGGAAGATGTGTGCCCAGGCAAGTCCCTGATGACATTTTCTGCCAAGCAGTAGTAAGTTTCAGGGACTAGGTGCCTTCTGCACGTTCCCTTTTCCCATCTTTATGGAAAACGCAAGATACCAAATCAGATATATTTTTTTTCACTGTGGGAATTATATATGTAACAAAACACTTACCGTTTCAATATTCTTCACATGTAGAGTTCAGTGACATTAATTGTATTCAACATACTATGCAATCATTACCATTATCGGTTTCTAAATTTTTCCAGACAGATGTTTTACAGGGAACTTTTACATTTCACTTCATGTAAAACACTATCATGGAACTAGGTGGCATTTTGTCATTAAAATAATAATTAAGCTGAGTGAAAAAAATTGCTACATAAGTATAATACCATTCATATAACGTTTAAAAACGTGGACTACTCTTTAGGTTCTCAGGGACAAACATATATGCAGCAGAACTGAAAGGAAATGTGAGGAGATTTCATGATGGTGCTTCCTTCTGCAGAGGTGGGAGAGGGTAGGGTAGCACAGTGGCTCCAACTGCCCACTGGATTAATGACATTTTATTTCTTGACTGGACAGGGCTGCAGAGGTATTCTTGGTATTATTCTTCTCACCTTTTTGCAGCCTTCAAAAAGTTCAAAATAATGACCAAGCTGTTTCGCTGGAGAAACATGTTGGTCCAAATGGGCCATTCTGTTCTCAGGAACAATAGCTGTTCGTGGAAGATGTTAAACCAAACTCTCAAAAGAAGCACTCTGGGTTCTGCACACTCACGGTTCAGCAAGCATCATGGGTAATGCGTTCTCTTGTATCTTGGAGGGTCGATTGAAGCCCATGGCATAGACTCCCTGGAGAAGCTGTGGTTTCCTAGGAGGCCAGGGAGAGACAGGATGGATTCCTAGTTGTTGAAATCATTTTCAAGGCCTAAAGTTTCACCTTTCCCTATATCTAGCAAGGAATGATGCTTCCTATCTCTGTTGTATTTTTCTATGTCTTAAAAAACACTACCTAAAACCAAACCATTATCTTTCCAAACTAAATCTCAATCTGTAACTGTTATGTAAATTATAAAATACAAATAGTTTCTTCTCTGGGAGAAATTCATGTTTTCAGCATACCCACAAATCTGGTTGGCGCTGGATGACAAGCATTCCCTGGGCACAGCCAAGAGTGGTGTTTATTAACTCATGGCATAAACTATAAAAAAACATATCTAAAAATAAACCTGGCTTACTATGCCACTAAGATTTAGAAATCTCTTCATAAAATAGGAATATAGTTTTCTCTGTGCAGATGTTAAATTGAACCACAATCTTTTTTGTGGTCCATTGTCTGCCCAAACCAGCTGTGCAAGTACTCGGGACAATCAACAGGTAAGAACATTGATTAAGCCAGTTTCTAGTAGCTGATCGACTGTAAGGAGGCAAGGAGGATTCAGTTATCATACTGAATTTATAAACATTCTGATTTAGTTACTATGTCTAGTCAAAATCAAGAATAGAAAAGCATTAACCTTTTATCTAAGTCGCTCCATAACAAGTATCAATTAAAGTTGCTCTTACATCCCATTTACAATAAGCTATCTACTACTTCCAAATTAACAAGGTGTTTAGCAAAAATCAGGAGCCCTGTTGACAGTGGTTAAAATGCTTGGCTGCTAACTGAAAGGTCAGTGGTTTGAACCCACTAGCCACTCTGTGGGAAGAAAGATGTGGCAGTCTGCTTCTGAAAAATTTACAGTCTTAGAAACCCTATGGGGCACTTCTACTGTCCTGTAAGGTCACTACGAGTTGGAATTAACATGATGGCAATGGGTTTGGTTAACAAAAATCACACATGATCGTTTCTAAAGAAAAGTCAAAACAGGTCAAGACTTCTAAGCCTTCCTTGGCATTTAACAGGCTCTCTAAAAGGCAAATTTTTCTGCCATAAGTTGGTTTTCAGACACAAAGAACATCAAAAACTTAACTTTTGATGTCTTCTGTTTGGAAGCAAAGGCTGTAAAGCTCTGCAGCTTCTGATTCGTCGCCAAGGAAACAGTCACAACCAAGTCAGGATTCAAATGATCCAAGAGCCTCCACCAGCTCAGTAGTTTTATTTTGCAGATAAATTCAAATCTTTTAAGCATAAAACAGACCAAGCATATTAGGTAACCTTGGTCTCATTCTTTGTTTCCTTTGGCAACTAACAGCTAAATCAGAAAGAACCTGTCTTTCAAACAGAACAGTTCATCAGTGGTTGAAATGAAAGCTCAAGCCTTTCATATGATAGAACTTAAGAAAAACCCAAACCACTGACACCTGGAAGAGCAAACTGCAGCCTCAGGAAACAATACGGCACATCTAACTTCCCTGATACAGTCTGTGAGGAGAAGTAAAGCAGAAGTGACAAATTTTTTGAATAAAGCCCCTGAAACGGGGAACACACATAGAAAAGTAAAACTTCCTGAAATTTAAATTAAATAAAAAGCTGGCTACACTTTAAAAAGCTGCTTCTTAGCTATTACTTGATTCAGTTCTAGTTAGCTCTCTATTTTAAATGTCTCTTAATATAAAGCAGTGGTAGTAGTTGGCAGGAATGTGGCCCCTATTTGCCCACAGCAGACATACTATAGATATTTGCTAAACAAAAGCAAAGAACCCATTTAATTCCACCACTGTCATATTCACCAGCTACTTTCTATCTATGATCCGCATCCTGGCCAGTAACAGTAATATATGTCATACGTTCCTCCTAATACCCAGCCCAGTGGCATGTGCATAAGCCAGTAATCCATGGACGCTTCTGTACTAACTTACTAAAAAAAACAAAAACTTGTTATGACCTTTCATAAGTACAATACTTAATAAGATCCAACGTCTGCCTTTAAAATAATGACACCTTAAAAGCCATTCCTAGCACAATGCTATATACATATACACTCATCTGGGTTCTGTTTTTTTTTTTAATTCCAGAACTGTCCAAGGTGGCTTTCCATTGTGAGTACTGGGCCCTCTTGACAGATTTTATAAAAGCAGATAAACTGTAGACCCTAGAGTCTAACAAACAGGCTTACCTAATAAGAAATGTTCCTGACATCCAGAAATCACCTGTCAGCCAATATTTTATTGAAAGTTCTAAGAGCATAAAAGAAAAAAGACTTTCAGCTACGATGAATAAATTTGTGGCATTTAAAAATCCCTACCAAGAGGAATTGAACTAGGTGGCCAAGACACAAGGGTAGGAGGGACACCATCACTGTAATGCTTTCATATTTTTTGACTTTGAATCATGTGAATTATTACCTATTAAAAGAAGTAAACACATTAAAGTTTTTAAAAATAAAAAGTAACAAACCCATCTCTGAGATGCTAAGTTTTATAGGGAAGGGACAGACAAGGAACAAAAGTTAAAGGGAACAAAATACTCACAGCCGGAGCTCTTCAAAAGACTTCACAGAGTAGAGGGGAGAATTCGGATCCCGCTGCAGGACTTCCACCTGGTTTGTGTTATCGACAAGGTTGCTTCTGATCAGCTTGTTGAGTAAGGACTGGGCAGCTTTGTCCTCTGTCAGGAAGAAAACAGATTTTCTTCATACTCATCTGGCCAACCCCACCTAGTGAGACTGCTCCCCACCTCTCAGCACCAGCACCTGGGCAGCCAAGCACTGATGGAGAAAAACCACAATCACACTGACAGACCTTGCTTTAAATTCTTGACTAGACCCGCTGGGGCTCTGAGATGCCCAGCAAGCCTTTCCATAATCCACTCATTCGCTCTCCTTCTCTTCAAACCTCCACTGATACCTTCTCTCTCCTCACACCTCTAACCGCTCCACATTCTCACTCATCTGATGGCCCTGTTTCCAACCAAGAAATACTCAGAAGCAATTCCATACACTTCCAAGACCACACCCACCCACCCGCATTTGTGCCCATATCCTCCACCTTTTCCCTGTAACTACAGATGCACAGCCTGTGCTCCAATCTAAGGCTACCCCCCTCTATGACAGAGCCCATCCCTTCTTACCTACAAGGATATTTCTCCTGATACTGACCCCCTCTCTTGCATCACCAATTTTCCTACTCTTCTGGATCATTCCCATCAGCAAGTGAACATGTTTTCACGTTTCTCATCATAAATCTGCTTCCTCCTTTACTCCACATCTCATCCAATTACTGTTCCATCTCTCTGCTCCCCTTTATAAAACATTCCCCAAGAGAGCTGCCTATTCTTGTCGTCTCTACTTCCTTTCCTCCCTTTCTCTCTGAAGGCACAATGAATAGCCTTTTTTTTAAAATAACCTCTCCACTCCACTTCAATAGCCCTTGTCACACTCACAATTGCTTCCACACTGCCTAATCAATCGAATGGTCAATTTTTAGTTTTTCTCTTAATTAACTTATTACCAATATTTGACTCCCTAACTTTTGAAACACTTTTTCCTTCTGTCTTCTGGGATACCACACTCTTTTGGTTCTCCTTTGAGTGTTACTTCTCAGTCTCCTTTGCGATTCTCCTTGATCTTACAATTCAGAGTGCCTCTGGGCTCCAGGAAGCCAAGTCTATCTTTTGACACAGGACTTCAAAGAGTAGTTACCTTTCTCTTCCTCATATGTTTTCTCTGGCGTGGCATTGGTTTTGATAACACCTACACAAAAAACAGTTGTCATAATTAGGCTAATATCAAACTCAACCAAAAGGTGGGACAATATAAATACTAAAACCTATTTAAGTGATCAACTATAAATAGTTTGCATTTCTTTATGTTCAGTGGACTTTTATTTCTAGAAAGTTTTTAAATGCATAAGAAAAATTTAAATTTCTAGAAATGCTGGCCAATTTCACAATGATCAGAATATGTCACCTCTGACTTACTTATCCTAATTTAAAATACAGCATTATATTAGCAAACACAATTTGCTAATTGTGAGAAAAAGAATGAGTATATAAATCTATATTTGTATTTCATTTGCGTAAACAAATTTTGAAAAAATATTAATAACCAATAACAGTGATTACTTATGGGATGGGGTGGAGAGTGGGACCTGGGTAAATGGGGGACCAAAATGGGAAGAAGGGCTTTCACCTTTTTATACTTTTGAGTTTTGAACCCAAATTATCTTTCAAAAAATTAAACAAAAATAAGTTTTTAAAGAAACAATCTCCAGTGAACAGTAGTATACTCCAGTGCTGATTGTTGGATTTAAGGAGTCAGAGGCTGGATCGAATCTGAAAACATCATACAGCCCTTTCAGTAATTAAACCTAATTTACCAGCTCTCTAATCCAGTGCTCTCTTATCATTTACCGAATGTTAGGCTAAGTGAAAGCTCCTGTTCACACTGCAGCTCTGAGTGTAAAACAGAAGCACATGTGTAGTTTATGGTTACCAGTGACTCACCATTGGTATCTGGTTTGATTTTCTCTTCTTTGATCTGTAGGCTGCTCATCTGAAGGGGAATGAAAGAAAGCAGAGTTAAATGACCCAATTAAAGGAAAGCTTTTGAGCACAGGGAAGGTCTCTGGTAAAAGCCTAGCAGGAGCTACTTCAACACCCATCTTTAGGGGCTGGGTTTGTTTGCTTGATGCAGAACTGCCTGGGCGAAAACACCATTTCAAATCTCTTCAGTAGCCTAAAAAAGGGAGGGGGGGGCAAGCTAAATGTAATGGTAGGGAGAAAAGTATGTCAACAGTCTCAAACCTCTGCTTTCCTCCCATCTCATGCTCTTCCCACAACATCCAACCTTCATTAAATACATACCAACTATAAACTTTCAACAGCACAAACACAGCTTGTTTCTAGGTACAGAATGATACCATAAAAATATCTCATAAGCTTTTTTTAGCCATAAAACCCATGCTGTATTAAAGCAACATTCAGCAAATAAATTACAGTCCTCTTTCTTATCAACCACCTAGGTTATGAATTAGGAGAAACTTATTTATGATGATGAAAGTATTGACAAATCCAAGTTCCTGATTTGAAAATCTTCCAGAAGCTTGAAAAAAATGGTTTCTCCTTTACTCTTGGTCACGTACTCCCAGTCAATACAAACTTGCTAAGCTGCAAGCACAGAAATAATCCATAAATTTGCAAACAATTCTCCACTATCAAGAGAACTATTTTTTTATATTGGAAGTGTTGGTAAGAGTAAGATGCGATGTTAAGATGATATTGTAAAGGTGTATTGTCAGATTCTGAGGAATACCCAAATTAAGCCCTGGGCCACAAGCCTACTAAATAAAGTCCCCTCTCAAGTTTTTAGCGAAGGTCTAAAGTACGCTCCCTGCGATATTTTCTCTACTACCTCACCGCAACCCAACCACCTTAAATTCCAGCCAAAATTATTTTTGATTCCTGTTCTCTAGGCAAGTCCAGCACTTTTGCACATTTTCTCCCCCTAAAATGTCTTTCACCGTCATCTCTATCTTAAATATGACTCAATCTCTAATATCCAGCTCAAATGCAAGCTTCTTCACAAGAAATTTCCAAGATTTTCCTACTCATAAATGTCCTCTCCCTCTTCAGAGATCACTTATCAGGTTATTCTTACTTCTTTGTTAGCATTTCCCACATTGTAGCCTTCCTGACTAGACTATAAATCTTCTTCCTATACTCCACTGGGCTTAGCCCATTTTATCTATCTGGTGATGAACTGATATTACTCCCAAAGCAACAAAGTGTACCTGGAAATGAAATGTAATTTAGGCATTAAAAAGTTATAAAATTCAGCTAGAGATTAGACAGGCCCATAAAACAAAATGAGACTAAATGGGCACACTAGCCCAGTAGCAAGGACAAGAAGGCAGGAAGGAACAGAAAGCTGGTAATGGGGAACCCAAGGTCGAGAAGTGGAGTGTTGACATATTGTGGGGTTGGCAACCAATGTCACAAAACAACGTACATTGTTTAATGAAAAATTAATTTGCTCTGTAAACCTTCATCTGAAGTACAATAAATAAAATACATCATAGATTAAAAGCTACAGAAGACTTCAGACTACAAGAAGTCTTCAAAAAATAGTCTGTATTCTCGCTACCAACAGTCCAAGGTCTCTAAATAAATCTAAACTTTCAGTCGTACATTTGCAGTACATTGAGACATTAAATCTAAACCTGTCAATCTCTTATTCTAAAGAGAAAGAGAATGACCATCTACATTTGCCTTTGCTTACAACTGCCATTGAGAAACAGGCTCAATACAGGAAAGGTAATATAACACACAGCGAGGAGATATTTGCGCTGGGCTGTTAACCTAATGGTTGGCGGTCCGAGGGGAGAAGACCTGGCGATCTGCTCCCATAAAAATTACAGCCAAGAAAATCCTATGGGGCAGTTCTATTTTGTCACATGGGGTCGCTATACGAATAGACGGCCTCTAACAACAACAAAAGTCTTTAACTGGACCAGATAATGATCAAAAGCTCAATACTGGTCTCTTCAGCCCTAGAAGAAAATTAGAACTAAGTTATTCCCCACCGCAACACTCCAGGGCGTGTTGGCCACAGGCCTGCTCAACCAATCCCTCTCTCTGGACTCGAACCCATGTTCACCTGGGCCCCTGCTACGTTCTTGCCCCTTTAGTCAAATCCACTGACCGACTTGACAGCCGCTTCTTGCTCGTCAACCGCCAGAGCCCACGAGTCGGTGGCCATGGTCCCGGGGGGAGGAGGCAGACAAGCCGGAAGACACCGAAGACCACGCAAAAGCTCCGACCAGACTCTGCCGCCTGCACGAGAACGTCATTCACACGGACCGGAAGCGAAGGCGCGCAAGAGTGACGTCAGATCCGCCCGCTATCAGCCGCCACCACTCGGCGCCACGCGGGGCCATCTCTCCGGCCCCGCCTTCTGCTCGGGTGGGCAAACATGCCGCCTCCTGAAGCCTTAAATCCGTTTTCTTCAAAGTAAAACTCTTTTTGCCTTCGCTTCACTACGTTACTTCACACTGAAATGACTCATTTTATTTTTAACTCACCACGTCTCATATTAAATACATATATATGCTTCTGTGAACTACAAAGCCTATATAAAGAAAAACGGCTGCCGAGTTGATTCCGCCTCATAGCGACCCTATAGGAGAGAGTAGAACCCATAGGGGTTCCCAGGAGCTGCTGGTGGATTCGAACCACCGACCTTTTGATAAGCAGCCTGAGCTGTTAACCACTGTGCCACCAGCAAAAAAGGCAACCCAAACCGATTGCCGTCAAGCCCCATGAAAGAGAATACTATATGATGCCAGTTTCTGTTAAGAACGAAAACGTCAAAGAAAACGAAAGCCTTGTGGAGTCAGTTATGACTCGCAGCGACCCCATGTAAACAAAACGAAACAGTACCTGGTCCCGCGCCATCCTCACCATCTTTTCTATTGCTGGAACCAATCACTGCAGCCACTGTGTCAATCCATCTTGTTGATGGTCTTCCTCTCTTTTGCGGACCCTCTACTTTACCAAGCATGATGTCCTTCTCCAAGGACTGGTTCCTCTTAAAAACGTGTCAAAAGTACGTGAGAAGACGTCTCGCCATCCTCGCTTCTAAGGAGTATTCTGGCTGTACTTCCTCCAAGACAGATTTGTTCTTTCTTCTGGCAGTCCATCCTTTATTCAATATTCTTCACCAACACCATAACTCAAAGGCATCAATTCTTCAGTCTTCCTTATTCACTGGTCAGCTTTCACATGCATATGAGGCAACTGAAAATACCATGGCTGGGGTCAGGTGCACCTTAGTCCTCAAAGTGACACCTTTGCTTATCAACACTTTAAAGAGGGCTTTTTCAGCAGATTTGCCCAGTGCAATGCCTCGTTTGATTTCTTGACTGCTGCTTCCACGGACGTTGATTGTGAATCCAAGTAAAATGAAATATTGACAACTTCAGTCTTTTCTCCGTTTACCATGATATTGTTTATTGGTTCAGTTGTGAGGATTTCTATTTTCTTTATGTTGAGGTAAAATCCATACTGAAAGCTGTAGTCTTTGATCTTCATCAGTAAGTACTTCAAGTCCTCTTCACTTTGTGCAAGCAAAGTTGTGTCATCTGCATATTGCAGGTTGTTAATGAGTCTTTCTCCAATCCTGATGCCGCGTTCTTCTTCATATAGTCCAGCTTCTTGGATTATTTGCTCAGCATACAGACTGAACAGGTATGGTGAAAGGATACAACCCTGACACACCTTTCTTGAGTTTAAACCACGCAGTATCCCCTTGTTCTGTTCAAACAACTGCTTCTTGGTCTATGTACAGGTTCCTCATGAGCACAATTTAAGTGTTCCGGAATTCCCATTCTTCAGAATGTTATCCATAATTTGTTATGATCCACACAGTTGAATGCCTTTGCATCATCAGTAAAACACAGGTAAACATCTTTCTGGTATTCTCTGCTTTCAGCTAAGATCCATCTGACATCAACAATGATATCCCTCATTCCACATCCTCTTCTGAATTCAGCTTGAATTTCTGGCAATTTCCTGTCGAGGTACTGCTGCAACCGCTTTTGAATGATCTTCAGCAAAATTTTACTTGTGTGTGATATTAATGATATTGTTCGATAATTTCCACAGTCTATCGGATCACTTTTCTTTGGAATGGACACAAATATGGATCTCTTTCAGTCAGTTGGCCAGGTAGCTGTCTTCCAAATTTCTTGGCATAGACGAGTGAGTGCCTCCAGCACTGCATCCGTTTACTGAAACATCTCCTTTGGTATTCTGTCAATTCCTAGAGTCTTGTTTTTCGCCAATGCCTTGAGAGTAGCTTGGACTTCTTCCTTCAATACCATCAGTTTTTGATCATATGCTACCTCCTGAAATGGTTGAATGTTGACCAGTTCTTTTTGGTACAGTGTATCTGTGTATTCCTTCCATCTTTTGATGCTTCCTATGTCGTTCAATATTTTGCCCACAGAATCCTGCAATATTGCAACTCGAAGCTCGAAGTTTTTCTTCAGTTCTTTCTGCTTGAGAAATGCTAAGCATGTTCTTCCCTTTTGGTTTTCTAGCTCCAGGTCTTTGCACATTTCAATACTTTGTCTTCTTGGGCCAGCCTCTGAAATCTTCTGTTCGCTTTAGCTACTTGACATTCAAGAGCAAGTTTTAGAGTCTCTTCTGACACCAATTTTGTCTTTTCTTTCCTGTCTTTTTAATGACCTCTTGCTTTCTTCATAGGTAATGTCCTTGATGTCATTCCACAACTCGTCTGGTCTTTGGTCATTGGTGTTGAGGGTGACAAATCTATTCTTAAGATGGTCTCTAAATTCAGGTGGGATATACTCAAGGTTATGTTTTGGCTCTCGTGGATTTCTTTTTTCTTCAGCTTCAACTTGTATATGAGCAATTGATGGTCTGTTCCACAGTCAGCCCCTGGCCTTTTTCTGTCAGTTTGTTGTATCATGGTGGCTTACATGTTGCTGCGATGTTGGAAGCTATGTGACCAATATTTTAAATACCAGCAGGGTCACCCATGGTGGACAGGTTTCAGTGCAGCCTCCAAACTAGGAAGAAGGACCTGGCAGTCTACTTCTAAAAAAATGGCCAGTGAAAACCTTATGTATAGCAGTGGAACATTGTCTGATATAGTGCCAGAAGATGAGCCCCTCAGCTTGGAAGGCACTCAAAATATGACTAGGGAAGAGCTGCCTCTTTAGAGTTGACCTTAATAATGATGTGGATGGAATCGGGGGCCTTCATTTGCTGAGGTGGCATGACTCAGAATAAGAAGAAACAGCTGCAAACATCCATTAATAGTCAGAATATGGAATGTACAAAATATGAATCTAGGAAAATTGGAAGTTGTCAGAAATGAAATGGACTGCATAATGATCAAAATCCTAGGCATTACTGAACTGAAATAGACTGGTATTGGCCATTTTGAATCAGACAATCATATGGTCTACTATGCCAGGAATGATGAAAAAGAATGGCATTGAATTCATCAAAAAGAACATTTCAAGATCTATGCGAAGTACAGCACTGTCAGCGATAGGATAGTATCCATATGCCTACAAGGAAGACCAGTTAATAAGACTATTATTCAAATTTATGTTCCAACTATTTATGCCAAAGATGAAGAAACTGAAGATTTTTACCAACTTCAGCAGTCTGAAATTGATCAAACATGCAATCAAGATGCATTTATAATTACTGGTGATTGGAAAGCAAAAGCTGGAAACGAAGAAGAAAGCTTGGTAGTTGGAAAATATGGCCTTGATAACAGAAACGACACTGGAGATCACGTGATAGAATTTTGCAAGACCAATGATTTCTTCATTGCAAATACCGTTTTCAACAACATAAATGGCAACTGTATACGTGGACCTCGCTGGAAGGAATACACAGGAATCAAATCGACTACATCTGTGGAAAGAGACATAACCCTTAAACCCCCATTATTCCACAATGGGGTTGCTGTGAGTCCAAAACGACTCGGTGGCACCTAACAATTCCACCACTCCAATCAACACACACACACACACTCAGTGTTTTTTTTCTTCTGGGTCCTTCTATTCTTTTTCCAGATGTATCAATAGCACAGGTGTTTTACATAGTCCTAAAATGAAGTATTCATACAATTTTAAATTTAACCTTTTTATTATACAACTATGTATTTTTTTCATGTCTTAATTTACCCATTTAATTGTGGTATAATAGTGCATCAAGTGCTTACAACATAAATTACCTAAGGCCCCCACCCCTTCCCTTGGGGATATAGGTTGCTTCCAATGTTTTCCTGTTAATTGGTAACACTTCAGTGAACATATCCGTACCATCAAAAATCATCTTACTTGCCTCATTCCAGTTATTGTCTTTCCCCACTAGAAGATGAACTCTTGAAAAAGAACCCTCACAGCACTCTCCTGGTCTCTTGTGGCCTCAGGTCTCCCTCTCAGCCACTGTTCCAGGCCAGCCAGCCAATCATCGGAAAGTGACAGCCCTTCTCCAAGCTGGATCCCTTTGGGCTAGAAAGTGGCCTGAGACCCTAGCTGGGTGAGCATGGTATATTGAACTGCATTGTGTATGACGCTGCCTGATCACATGATGTTTGCTGTCTTCATCACTCAACTCTCAGTCTCACGGTCAGGGAACCTTGCCTGTTTTGCTCACCAATGACTCCTCCGTACCTGCACTCACAGGGACACAATAAGCAGTTGAGTCAGGGAGTGAATGAATCACTAAGTGAATTGAGTGGCAAATAACCATCTCTAAGGATCATGTCTTTGACCGTTGTGGCATCATCATTCCTTCTGGGTCCTTCTATTCTTTTTCCATATGCATCAATGAGCAAATGGATGCAAAGATTTATTTGGCTTGCACTTGCTGTGGGGTTCGTGACAATAGGATGGCCCACTCTAGGAACAAGTACTTTCATCCTTATGATGTCTCTATGTACTAGAAGCAACAGGAGAATAAGAGGAATGCTTAAGGATTCACAAAATAATTTAGGAGTAATGGGAGGAGCTAGATCAAGTTTGCATTTGGACCACAAAAGGTCTAATAACTACAATAATAAAATGGAAAAAAAATAAAACTGTATGAAAAAGTGACTGGAGATAATTTTTAGAGGTATGTTTAACACATTCACACTTTCAGTTGTTAACACACATTAACAGAGCATATTTCTATGTGCAACACATCCTGCTGACAGCTAGGAATTCAGAGGTGATTAAGTTAGACACATATGCCACCCTTCCGACCCTTACTGGACTTAAGTTAAAGGCAAGACACAAGTTCAACAAGT